CGGTAACGGGGCAAGAAGGGGTCTGGGGGGCCTGGGGAGTCACCGCGGGGCTGGAAGGGCGATGGGTATGGGTCCCACCGGGAGGGGCTCGGGGGGGGCTTGGGTCCCCCTTCCCTGGCCTGAGGGGTTCAGGATGGGCTCTGCCCCCCAAAGGTGAGAGGCTTGGGCTGAGCCCCCTCTCTGCGCTGAGGGGCTCAGGGTGGACCCTGTACCCCGTGTGAGGGGACAGACACCACTAGCTCACATCCAGGTTCTTTTCTCCTGGTTCAATCCCAGGAGTTGACCCAAGGTGCATCCTGCATAGGATTGTTTGACAGTGTTTCAGATAGAACCTCTCAAAGCTGCAGCTGTCCTGTTTTGAGGTGTCCAGAACAACTCTTACAGGACTTCAAAGTTCCTTTTTACCAGGCAAACGTCTCCCTGAGGCTTCTAAAGGAACAATCCCTGTGTTACTCCCACTCACAGGAGCTGACCCCAGGACCATCTTTTCCTACAGCCTGACCTTGCTGTGTCCTACAACATCCCTGCTCTGAACACAGCCAGAGGGGCCCCCCAGGGCCCAGAGCCTCCCTCAGGATGAAGGTGGTGGTGGCCAAGGTGTTGTGCCTGCTAGGCATCTGTGTTCTTGTGCTGGCTGGGGCTCTGCTCCCTGTCAGGGTGATGGAGGCTGAGCATGACAAGGCTCAGCACTCCAGGAGGCTCCTGGCCCTCTGCAACACCTTTGGAGGAGGAGTTTTCCTGGCCACCTGCTTCAATGCCCTCTTGCCTGCTGTCAGGGGCAAGGTGAGTGCTGGGCCGGGGCACCTGAGTCTGCAGGACCCCAGGCCTCCACCCCCTGTCCCTGTGGGAAGGGGCTAAGGGTCTGTGTCCTGCTGGAGCAGCTTGTGGGGTCTCCTCAAGCATCTGTGTGTTGTCTTCTGAGAGTGAGCTGTGCTCACCTCCCATTTGGCTGCCTCCATGGGTAACTGGAGATTTTGGGATGCTGGGGAGGGTGAGGGTCAGAATTCCATGTGTTTGGAGCACTCAGACAGCCACATACCTTCCATGGGAAAGCAGAGATTCTGTGTGTCACACCAAGGCTGATCCAAGGGTGTTAGAGCATCATGGATCAATTCAGTGTCCACATGGAGCTGTTCTCCCTCAAAGGGATAAAGGGGATGCATTCACTGCAGATCACTTGTTAGGACAAGGGGTAATGGATTCAAATTGGATGAGAGAAATTTAGGTTAGATCTTAGGAAGAGGTTTTCCATGTGAGTGTGGTGAGACACTGGCATAGGTTGCCTAGAGAGGCTGTGGATGCTCCAAGGAGGTTGTGGATGCCCCAGGGAGGCTGTGGCTGCCCCAGCCCTGGCAGTGTTCACAGCCAGGTTGGATGAGCCTTGAGCAACCTGCTCTGGTGGGAGGTATCCCTGTCCAGGGCAGGGGCTTGGGACTGGCTGGTCCCTAAGCTCCATTCCAACCCCTGTGATCCTATGATTTGCTTCCTTGCAGCTGGATGAAGTCCTCAGGCAGAGTAACATCACCACAGACTACCCCGTGGCCGAGACCATCATGATGGTTGGTTTCTTCCTCACAGTCTTCGTGGAGCAGCTCATCCTGACCTTCCAGAGGGAGAAACCTTCCTTCATCGACCTGGAGACCTTCAACGCCGGCTCTGACGTGGGCAGTGACTCGGAGTACGAGAGCCCCTTCATTGCCTCCTCCCGTGGGGAACACGGACACCACTCCCACCTAGGCATCCCCCAGCTGGGCCCCCTCGGCCCTCTACGCCTGCTGGGGCTGGTCTTTGCCCTGGGCACACACTCCATCTTCGAGGGCTTGGCCTTGGGGCTGCAGGAGGACAGCGGCAAAGTGCTCAGTCTCTTCCTGGGGGTAGCCATCCATGAGACGCTGGTGGCCATGGCCCTGGGTACCAGCATGGCCAAGGCCTTGCTGCCGCTCAGGGATGCTGCCAAGCTGGCCCTGGCTGTGTGCCTGATGATCCCGCTGGGAATCGGCATTGGGATGGGCATTGAAGGCGCCCAGAGTGCTGCCGGGAGCTTGGTGTCGCTGCTGTTGCAGGGCATGGCCGGAGGCACCTTCCTTTTCATCACCTGCTTCGAGATCCTGGCCAAGGAGCTGGAGGACAGGAGCCATCGTCTGCTCAAGGTGCTGAGCCTGGTGCTGGGCTATGCTGTGTTGGCAGGACTGGTCCTCATCCCCTGGTGAACTGGGAGCCATGGGAAACAGGGCTAGGCCTTATCGTGTGGTGAACTGGGAGCTGAGGGAAGCAGAGCTGGTCCTCATCCCATGGGGAGCCTGGAGCAGTGGGAAGCAAACCTCCTCTTCCCTCCCCATGGCACTGGGGTGAGCTGCCCCTTTTGGCATGGGAGCTGGAGCTCTGTCAGGTGGAACAACCCAGTCCAGGTGGTACACCATTTTACCAAGAGCGACTTCTAACTGATAATCAGATTTCTCACAGATGGTCAGTAATTTAACTCAGATGCATCAGCTTTGTCTCCAGACTTCTTCGTAAGATCACGTCTCCTGCTGGAATACTGCTGGATCCAAGGCTCGTGCAGCCTGCAGGCACAACAAAGTTGTGTCTAAATTTATTCATGGAGCAAATTCTTTGGCGTGCAGTAAGGTTATTCAGGGTACCAGGGTCCTGTTGTGAACCAGAGACAGAGGCCAAGTGCCTGTGCAGCTGTACCATGTGAGTAGTACGGGCTGCTGACACCATACTCCCTCTACTGCTGCATTAGAAAAGTCTCCTTCAGAGGACGTCTCCTCCAGAGGACAGTTCATTTTATCCTGCATCAGGTGTCTAAGAATGTTAAAATTACTTGTCCTTTTCCACTGCCTGTTTCTTTCAAGGGATAATAACAGAACCTCAGAGCAAATAAATCAGATGTAGATACCTTTTTTTTAACATGCATTTTACAATGTTTTCTGGGCCTAGTAATCTCTCTAGGGCAAATAAGTCTGGGGTCAGTTTCTAGCATTGCCAAACCTTCTCTTTAAAACTGGAGCAATCATCTGGAGGCTTCTAAGAAAGGGTGACAGCACAGAATCTTAGGGGGAAAACAAGCAAAAAAATCACCCCAATGCTCTTAACCCAAAGCTGTAGTATAGACATAGGGTTAGCTTAGATATGTTAAGGTCTACTTCAATAAATATGAGCACTGTGTGCATGAATAGGAGAGTTTCACTTTGGCATGGATTAAGTTCTGCACCTTCTGACTTCAGCTGGTCTGTTCGTGAGCAAAGCCCCTTCTCCAGAAGTCGTTAGTTGATTTCTTAGGTGTGTCATATGCAAGTAAAGGTCTTTCTCATGGCAAACCTGACTTCTTTGTTTCTAAGGCAATATATGAGAGGATTCAGAAGTGGCATAACTGCTGTGTACGGGACTGATACCAACTTGTTAGCCTTATAGGTATATATGAGCTTAGGATGGGCATAAGTGAAAAGAGTGGTGGAGTAGAACAATATCACTACAGTCAAGTGGTAGCTGCAGGTGGAAAAGGCCTTTTGCCTCCCCTGAGAAGAAGGGATCTTCAACACAGTGAACATGATGCAAATATAGGAGGCCACCATGGTACACAGAGGTACCACGATGACCATCAGAGCCAAGATGAAGTCCACTAGCTCAGCCAAAGAGGAATTGCTGCAGGAGACGTTCAGTAGGGGCGAAATATCACAGAAATAATGATTAATTTTGGCTACATCACAGAAGGAGAGCTGAGCTATAAAGCTCAGCTTGATGGAAGAAGTGGTCAAACCACACATCCAACAGCCAGCTGTCAAATGAGCACAGAACTGATGATTTATGATGAGTGGATACCTGAGAGGTTTGCATATGGCCAGGGAGCGATCATAGGCCCTAACAGCTAACAGAATATACTCAGTACAAACAAAAGTCGAAAGAAATAAAACTGTGTCATGCACCCCTGGAATGAGATATGTTTGTCTTGAGAGAGGACATCTATGAGCATCTTTGGCTCAATGACAGAAACATACCAGATCTCCAAGAAAGACAGATTCCCTAGGAAGAAATACATAGGTTTTTGCAGACTCTGGTTAGTATGGATGATGAGAATGACAAGGAAGTTTTCCAACACAGTTAATAAATAAGCCAGAAGTAAAGCAGAGAAGAGAAGCAGCTGCAGTTCAGTAGTGGTGGGAAAACCCAGGAGAATGAAATACATGACTTCGGTTTCATTGCTCCTAGCCATTCTGTAGGAGAAAGATGAGCCTTATCCACCTGCAATAAATGAATACAATGAAACCTAACTACACAGGTTTAAATTCATAGCAATATGTTACACCACCACTTAAAGAGACGTAAAAGTTCAGGCATTTTGTTGCTGGGATTTTAGAAATAAATTTTGTGAAATTTATCTGCTCAATTCAGAATTTTGCCTTTTAAAAATGAAAGCATGCTTTTTACTTTAATCTTCATGGAGATAAATAGGCATTACAAATCCTGTCTCATCTCAGACACAGGTCTGAAATAAGCCAGATGAATCATGCTATCATATTGTGCATCCACTATAAAGAAATGATAGGTTATGATAGATGGATAGACATTCACATTGCCAACGCTTTGGTTTCTACATCTAAACATTTTCAAAGTTATACCATGTATGTCCCGTGAACAGTGAGGGAAATGCAGAGTACCACAAGGATATATTCATTTGATATTAAAAACACCCTCCAAACCCTCCAATCTGAAAGAGCCCATTAGAGGACTGTATGCCTAGCTCTGAGGAAACTTACATCTACATAAAACTTGTTGAGATAAAAGGTGCACAGAACATCCCAGACACAGTGAAAGTGCAAGTGAAGTATAATTCTGGGTCTGGTGTTGGTTCATAGCTAACTGATTCCTCCTTCAAAAAAAATAGGAATGGCTCAGCCCGTGCTAGTAAAAACAAAAGTGTTCTCAACCTGCTGTAGTGGGAATTCAAAGTGGAATCCACAGCCTTACTGATCCTGGAGAATATGATCCATTTGGTCCAGATGAAGTGTAGACTTATGTCAGTTGCATTATTTATACCAACACAGATAAAAACTCTTTATTTACCTTTGGTGTCCCACTAGATCTGATCTAGAAATTGTACGGAGCCTCCCGGTGGAAGCAATCACAGAAAGAGGAGGAATGCTATTGTTTCCATGCAGAGTAGAAGTAAGAAACTCTTAAAATGTCTAACAGTCTTCTCACTCCAAACTGGGACTTCATCTCCCCACACTGATGCTGTGCCCTCCAAACTGGTTCCTGCAGCCTCAAACTGGCATATTCTCCATCTAAACCTGGATTTCATTTCCCCAGACTGCTCCTGATCCCTGCAAAGTGTGCCCCTCAAGCCTCAAAGTGGCATCATCTCCCTCCAATCTGGAATTTCATCTCCCCACACTGTTGCTGAATCCTCCAAAGTGGTTCCTGCAGCCTCAAACTTGCATATTCTCCCTCCACACTGGGATTTCGACTCTCCAGACTGCTGCTGAGCCCTGTAAAGTGGGTTCCTGCAGCCTCAAAGTGGAATCTCCTCCATCCAATCAGGGATTTCATCTCTCCAGACTGGGCCTGGGGCCTGCAAAGTTGCTTCCTGCAGCTTCAAAGAGGTATCTTCTCACTCCAAACTGAGGTTTTGTCCTGCCAAACCGCTACTGAGCCCTCCAAGTGGGTTAGGGTTAGGGGTTAGAGTTAGGGGTTAGGGTTAGATTAGGATTTCCTATTGATTTTATACTTGCATCTTGAGCACTGAACTTCTTCACTATCCTACTGCTTCATTACTGATTTACAACTAGTCTTATTTTCAAGGTCCTGTACTTCCAAATAATAATCTTCAGTTCTATGTAATTTCTGAATTGCTGCACAGTGAAATTTTATTACTTATTATTACTGACTATTGATGATTTTCTTAATGTATCACTTAGAACAAACATAAACACAAAAACAATTTCAGAAAAATACTATACAAGTGAAAAAAAACAAAAAAGAAACCAAAAAACACCCCAAAAAATCACCATAAAAACACCAAAAAAAAATCCCCAAAACCCCCCAAACAAAAATATAAACTCAAAAATAATCAAGAAAAGCAATGAATAAACTCAAGCACAAAACACACAGGAAAAAACTAAAATTAATCAAATTTCTACAAAATCAAAAAACCAAACCCGACAAAGTCCAAATCAATACACACTAAAAACACAAGCTCACAACAAATCATAAAAAAACCCCACAATTGACAAAAAACACCAAAAAAAGAAAAAAATTAAGTAACAGCCAACACAACAACAGCAGGGAGAGGTTGGGCAGTCTAGTCCAGTGCCTGACAACCTCCTGGGCTCTGCACCATGCACTTGTACAAGTTCATTCCACCCTCTCCTCACACTTGCCCAGAAGCAAAAGGAGATTTTGCGTCAATTAAGAGGCAGAAGGTCACCACAAGACTCACTTGTCAATACATGACCTTTGCCCACTAATGCTTCTGAGAAAAAAAGGTAAGAAGGATCAGAAGGAGGATCCAGGGAACTACAGATGTGTCAGCCTAACCTCGGACTTGGCCAAGGCCATGGAGGAGATGATCCTGAGTGCCATCACATGGCACACACAGGGCAACCAGGGGATCAAATCCAACCAACACGGACTGATGAAAGGAAGGGCCTGCTTGACCAACCTGATCTCTTTGTACGTCTGTGCTGGTTTGAAAGCAAATCGGTG